GGATCAAAAAAATTTTTTATTGGTTTCAATGTTGATCATCACAAAATGTCCAATAAGTTTTCCTATTACTATAATAACAATAAATTTAAGTATTTTAAATGTGAAATGAATATTTGTTAATAAAGGATGAGTATATGTTAATAATGGGATGAGCTCTTTTTAATATGGGATGAGTTATGGGATGAGTTTCTTTAATTAGGGATGAGTTTTGTTTTTTGAAGAATTTTAAAAGAAGATTTTATTCAAAAACACTTTCAATAACTACTATACAGCAGAATACACATATAAAATAACACAGGAGTTATTTGAATGCGTCTCATGTAGCTTCACCTTAAGACAATTATTAATTTTGGAAAAGTCAAATTTTGATCCTCGATTTTGTATTAAATCATCACGTGATTCCCCTACCCTTAATTTTTGGAGATAGTTTCTAAATTTGTACTGGTTACACAACGAAATTTCAACACTGGGGTTGAGTAATCATTCAATTATGATGACCTGTGCAGGCCTCTATTCTCGAAGCACTCACTGATTCATACTTGTCATTATTCATGTTTTTTTTTCTTCTTACAATATGACAGTCAAGTTAAAAAGGGTAAAGTAAAGATTGTTGATTGGTCAGATGAAGACGATTGGCAACCAGATTCAATCACTACATATTTAAATAAAACATCATCTAATCAACAACAACAACAAGAACAGCAACAAAAAATTGAGGAACCTCGGCCAGCCATATGGACCAGCTTGGTCCATAACGGGGTTTGTTTTCCTCAGGAGTATGTCCCTCACAATGTAAACATGAAATATAATGGTATGGCGTTATATAATCTAATTTTCTTTTTTAATGCATGTGTATTTGAAAATATTTATTAATTATATTTCTAAACTTTTACAACAATCATTATTGATTTTTTTTTTTAAGGAGATGAAATTGAACTCACTCCAGATGCTGAGGAAGTGGCAACACTCTATGCTGAATTGTTAAATGACAATTATGTAATGAATGATACTTTCAATGAAAACTTTTTTAAAGATTGGCAAACTGTATTGAAAAAATCTGAAGAAAATCCACAAGTTGAGGATTTTGAAAAATGTGATTTTACTTCTATATGCAATTATTTACAAAAAAAAGAGAAACAAACAAAAAATTTTTCAAAAGAGGAAAAACAAAGGTTGAAAGATGAAAAGACCAGGGTTGATGATTTATATGGTTATTGTTACTTAGATGGACGTAAAGAAAAAGTTGATAATTTTAAAATTAAGCCACCTGGTTTGTTTAAAGGTCGTGGT